TTTAGTCGTCTATCCCTTACCCCTCAAGGGGACACTGAGGGGTGAACTGTTTCTCCCCCAATATACTCTAGGCTTACCATGGCCAGTAACGAAGATTTTATACCCGTATTTGGGGCAATGAGGCTTGCCCCTTCATCAAATAGCCCCACTGATTCAGATTCTCCCAGTTGCCCGACCCCAGACTCTCCTTTGACCATGACACTAAGCACTACTACTACTCCTCCTCTGCTTTAATGCCTTCTATTACATCATCCACCAGGTCAACACTCAGCCCCCAGGAAGCATTCCTTCTCTCCCAACATTCTCAACATTATCTCTACCCCCACAACTTTCTTCATTTATTAACCCTCCCTTATTACTACTCTACAACTTTATTGTCCACCTCCACCTCTGCAATACTATCTCTCTCAACACTAATTCCTTTTCCACGCGGCCCCGTCCTTCTACTGCCCCCACCGCCACAAATATCCTAAATACTCTGTTAAGTCCAGCCAAATGGGACTGATGTTTCATGATCTCCCCCACAACTCCCTACTCTGACAACACTCTTCTCTTCCAGCAATGTCTCCAGAAACAAGTAGGCAAAGTTTTCTTATGCAGCCACCCATGTCGTCCCTTTCTTGTCACCGTTATATGGAAAACCTAAGCTAAAGCATTATCAACCCTGACAGACTTCAATGGCAAACCCATGAAGAACCTTATCCCACCCTCAATACTTGTCCTGGAACTGTCTCCATCTCCCCAACACACCACACAAAAATTGGTCAGATTATGGAGAAGACTTCTCACCTGCCTCATGGACTGTGATGTAGTAATATCAGTACAGTGCTACACCATTCCCCCAGAGGCCATTGTAAGAATCCCACAAACATTGCCAAGATTATTTTCTGTAGACATGACCTCCCCGTCAATATCAAAATTGTTGAAGTTTAGGACATCTTGCCAAACACTGCCATTCCACTGCCTGATGCCCTCTATGTGCCCAACCTGGTCATAATTGATCAAACTGCTCTGCACAGTTACGCATATGTGCCAATTGTGGTGGCCCCAGTAACGTATTTTTATAGGGGCTGCCCCACCTACAAGCTTGAATCTGAGGTGGCAACCCTCAGATTCAGACTTGGCTTCACTCTGCATGAAACCAGACAGGAAGCACACTGACAAGGTTTTTCTCTTACTCCCTACTCCAAGAAAATCACTCCCTCTGCTCCTCTCCCTGCCTCCCAAGATGTTCCTACACCCTCCCCTGTAGCTATTCCTCCTCCATCTTACACTCCCAGTTCTACTCCCTACCTCCCCCCAGTCAAATTCTTTTGCCATTCTAAATCAAGACACTCCAATCTCTATTGCTGCTCCAACACTTCCCCAGATCTTCTATCTCCTGATACCCTTCCTGATACTATACCACCTCCCCCCTCTCATTCCTTATCTCACCCCTAGCTCCTTTCCCATTAAGTTCTCCAACACGCATTTTAACTGTTATCACTCGTAGATCAACTAAATAATAGCTCACCTCTCAGACGTCCTTACAGAATCCCACCCTTTCTGCCTTGACAACCTGTTCTCCTTCTCCTTCACTTGATCTAACCCCCCTTACTTAACCCAACCTTAACACTCACTGCCTCCTTTACGCATCTTTAACCTTTCCAGTACTACTCTTGGCTGTTGATGCATAGCAACTAGTTACTAACTCAACCCCCCCCCTTCCATGCCCTTTCTAATACTACACCTTCCTATTGTGCCACATGATCTTAGATGTCTAGCATATATATTTTGCTTTTACCATTAGCCATTAACCATCACTTATTTTGGTAGTATATTCAGTCAATGTAAGATTTGTTGTGCTCCCTATGTACAAGGTAAGATTCATAGAAATTGAGTCATTGAAGAACTCCATGGCAACAGAATGATCAGTGCCCTAACATTAATGTGTAATGGCAGATCATTGAGGTAAAAACATTATTTTTGCATACTTCTGTGTGCAATTTTCTCAGCACTTTCTCTTAAATATTAACAAATTTGGTATTGATGAATTGGTATTGATAAAAATCTACTGTATGGATGTTGTAGCTGTGGGAACTAATATAGCTATGATAATGAGTCCTTTATTGATGGTAGACGTCCATCCTTGCTATAATAAACTGAGCCCAAGTGCTGGGGGACAAGGATCCGTACCCGGCTGTGCTTCAAATTTTCCACTTGAGTGACTAATCATTAGCACCCTGGCACGTGGCTCATTTAGTGCTGGAAAAACTGTCACCACTGGTTTAAGACTGTTGAGGCAATTAAGTAAGGTTAGGTTAGATTAGAATTGCATAGACAGATATAACTTCTATTTATATTTGACCACTAGCAACCAAGATTTGTTTAAAGATGTTTTGATTAGTTCTTTATACTTATTGTTTTATCAGTATATATCTCTATGAATACCTGACAGGCAGCAAAACCTTTAAACCGAAATGAGTTTTATAACCCAAGTTTAATTGTTGCATTATTTCAGATTTCAGATTCAGCATGGCAAGATGGCAGCCAGACACAATATATCTTCCAAACTCTTCCTTTCCATCAGGACCTTTGTGTTTGCCTCCAGAACTTGATATAAGATCCACTGTTGCACCTCCTATATACAGGGTAAGTTTGAAAAGAATTTTGTAAATAAACATGTTTCCTCTCAAGCTAAACAAACAACAAGGGAGAGAGCAGGGAAGCACACATGACTGATGGAGGTCTTTTCATCATGCTGCTTATTCAGGGCATATCTTCTAAGGAAGCAGTACAGCAAGAAGGCTTTTAGTATAACAGTGTGTTTTCTTCTCTTCCCTTCTTTGTTTTAGATACAGGTTGTTCAGCACAAGTTGGCCATGTCCTGCTTAGTAGGATGGATGCTTCTGGAACTTTGAATAATTAGATCATATTAACTTCTAATCATAATAACTTCTAATTTTCTACCTATAGAAATATCAAGCCTCGACTAAGTAGCTTGAAGGATAAGCACACGAATCATAACTGTAGAGAAACCATTTCTTTCCCTTTTTTTATTCTTTTATTCTTTCACTTAGAATTTTCTCAGAACTATTCTATTTCATATAACATTAAAAAAATGTGACTAATAAGACAAACAATGTATTTTGTCTCAGGGAATTTCAATAGCTATTGGTGTTCTTGAATGTCTTAGACATTGCTTATTCTTTTTTGTACAGATTTTGATTCAGATGCTAAAATATGAAAAAAAAAGAATTGTAAATTTTTTGTCAATCAATAAACCTACATATTGTATTTGATTATATTTTACATTCTGTATCATATTGTATTATCTTAATTTCTTTGAAACAAATTTCATATAATAGCAACCAGTGTAAAACACCATTTATACAAGACAATTGATCAGTTCTTAAGCACATTGAATATACTCATAGCTAACTATGGTTTTGTTGTTCAGATCTGATAGGTTGAATTGTGTATGTATATCTCAAAAAATCTTCACTTCATTTAGTTTAGATAGTGATGGAGGAACTTGTACATATAACACATTACATTATTGATACTGTGTATGTTTCCATTATGATAGTGTTGCTTATCTCTCTCTAGGAGTAGGTGGTATATATTGATACTTTGCAAATTCGCATGTCAGCTGCAATGTGATGCATCTCCTCCACACAGCCCCTGACAGCAAGTGCTGTCAATGAAGACATCATCCTGCTTGCTGAATTTTCTGAGATCGAGGGCCCAATGCCACTCCTGACAATCCCACGATGTCAGCCATCACACTTGGACTTAAATGACTTTGTAGTGAAAGTGATGTCAACAGATTACTTAAACACAAGGTATTCATAACTAATATTAGGAATTTGTTTATGATAATAAAGTATCACAGGGCTTATAATGGTAGTTATTTAAGTATGTTGTTGGTTTATAACCCACAGTGATGATATTTATGATTATGATTTCACTGATGATCTGATTTAGTGAAATTGCCTGTTTTGTGGCTAGCAGCTGTACAGAAGTTCAATGGAAAAATATATCACTGAAAAGACCTTTTACATAAGCCTATAGGCATTTCCTGTGGTCATAGTCACCTTGATAGGATACTTAGTAGTTTAACCCATTGCTGCCAAGGAAAATGAATAAAAAATTGTGAAAATGCTGAGCTCATTTTTATATTTTCTGTGAAATGTCTCTACACATAGATGGCTCTGCCTTACCTGATTTCACCTTTCCTTGAATTGGCAGGAAAATGTATTTTTACTAGTGCCATGAATATCGATGGTGTTATTTTTATTATAAACATTATTATTACTATAATGTTATAAACAGTAGTAATAGCAAAATAAGATAATGTAAAACATTTTTGTAAATTAAAGAAAAGGGTAAATGGGCGAGACAGGCAGTACTCGTAATTGGCTCATTGGTGATTTAGTACAAGTGTCGCAATCTATCTGTAAGAACAATTAAGCAAGTAAACTCACAGTGGGCATGGCATGGACGCATGTGACATGCCCGTTGTGAATGGGTTAAAGAAGTGATCTGAAAATCTAAATGTGAGAAGAGAAGGGTATATGATTTCCATTAACCCATTATTGCTGGGGAAAATGAATAAAAAATGGGGAAACCATGTGACATGCCCGTTGTGAATGGGTTAAAGAAGTGATCTGAAAATCTAATTGTGAGAAGAGAAGGGTATATGATTTCCATTAACCCATTATTGCTGGGGAAAATGAATAAAAAATGGGGAAAATGCTGTGCTCATTCTTAATATTTTTTTGTGAAATGTTTCTACATATAGATGGCTCTGCCTTACCAGATTTCATCTTTCCTTTAATTGGCGGGAAAATGTATTTTTTTACTAGTGTTATGAATAGCGATGGTGTTATTTTTATTATAAACATTATAATTACTATAATGTTTTCAAAAATTAAAGAAAAGGTGAATGGGCGAGATAGGCAGAAGTCATAATTGGCTCGTTGGTGACTTAGTACAAGTATAGCCATCTATGGGTAAAAACAATCAAATAAGTAAACTCGCAATGGTCATGGCATACCCGTCGGCAATGGGTTAACAGTTGGTGGTGATGTTAACTATTATAAGAAGAGTTTCATATGTAAATAACTGATATTCCTGATTGGCAGACTCCAAAAGGTATTTACAGAACAGTGAAGAGTTATTATTTCATAGATAACAAATGCTTTAGCAATAGTTATTAAGAACTAATAAAATCATATATATCTGATAACTATTTGGATATAATTGAGGTTGTTTTCAATAATGATAGAGAAAATATAGATTATGATATTGATAATAATAGTGATAAAGATATTAGTAGTAAAGGTAATGATAATGATGATGATAGTCATAGTTATCCATACCTGGGACAGTGTAATAAAGTATCTCTTTCTATTTTCAGTGGTGAGTTTCGTGTATGTGCAGACACCCAAATGGTGCAACAGGATATAGAGCCTGGCATACATGTATATGTACATTATTTCACTCTCTATGATGTAAGAGCACGAGGATTTGTTAGACCCATGTGTCTGTCATACATATCCTCTGACTCAAGGAAACTTCTCCATTACTTCTCACATCTAAGACTGCTTTTTAGTAAGGTAAGCCATTTTATGCTTTATTTTTAGGATAATTTTTAAACTGAAAAGTTATAGATGAACTATATATTCAAACAGAAAAAGATGTTTTCCTTCATTCTCTCTCTTTTCAGGCAACCAAATATTTGAAGTTGAGCAACCTCACTCGATTCACAAATGAAATGCAGGAACTTATTACAGATCTTGAATACACAAAGGACCGATATATCCAAGTTCAAAGGCAGTTTGTAAGTAAGGTGTCATGTCATGTGTTTTCTGCTTACTAAGTTTTGTGTATTTTTACATTTTATTTATATATACTACATTTTTCTTTCTTTTGTGTAGTACTGTTTAGTTTAACAAGATACCAATATGAAATGGTCCTCTTTTGTTAAATATAATAGAATCATCACTTCTACTAGTGTTAGATCCAGAAGTGGGCTACTGAGATTACTGAATTCTGAGAGGTATTGTAGAAATGGTTTATGCAGATGACACAGAAGTGCATGGTTTAAATATATCTAATGTGATAGATGTATCATTTAAAAGTTCCTTGTAAATGGAATGTCCATTTGTTTTCGTCTTGAACTAGTTATATGGCATCTAAACACAGTGAAAGCAAGAACTTAGCAGTAACTTTTTCTTTTCCCTATTCTTTGTACAGAAAGAATAATCTAGTGACTCATCTTCTTCTACTACACTTTTGTGCATTGTGCAAATTAGATGTTACTAATACATTTTATACTTTGCCAATTATTTTTAATGAAATAGATTATGGGCAAGAAAAAAAGGCTATTTTACCAACAAGACTCTAGGCATACTTGCATTGCAATAGGCTGGATAATCATCATGTTTGCATTACAGTTGATCTCCTCTATGTGTTCACTGTTAATCTGTTTTACATATAATATGAAGAATATTTTAACCAACCACTCATGTTTTCATATTTAACAGTCAATTGATATGGAATCCAGCCCTTTACCTCAAGAGATGGCAAAAACTCCAGAGGAGATACTAACCATTCCACAGCTGTGCACCAAAGATGCTGACCAAACTAAAGTACAAAGAGCAGTAAGAGAAATATTCAGTACCACAGCAGCCACAGGGATTCCCCACTACAATGGGGTTTTAGAAGAAGCCGTTCCCACAAATTTGGGTTCTCTAGGTTCAGACGATAAAGACCTAGAGGCAGCAGGACAAAAACAGTGAGTTTGACTTCTGCACCAGCATTTGTCTCTCTCTTGCAATGATCTCTTACTTCTGATTATCATATATACTTACTTATAGTTATCATTAGATCAGTTTATATATGTAATTATGGGCTTGCATTTATTTCATTTGTATGGATTTTAACCCTTTGCCGACGGGCATGGCATGTACGTACATGCCATGCCCATTGTGAGTTTACTTTTTAATTGTTTTAACACATAGATGGCTACACTTGTACTAAATCACCAATGAGCTAGTTACGAGTACCGCCGTCTCTCCCGTTCACCCTTTTCATCGATTTACGAAAATATTTAATGTTATCTTATTTTGCTGTTACAAATGCTTATAACATTATAGTAATTATAATGTTTATAATAAAAATAACACCATTTATATTTATGGCACTAGTAAAAATACGTTTCTCACGCCAATTCAAGGAAAGATGAAATCCTTTATGGCTAAGCACTAGCAGAGCCATCTAGTAACAGGGACATTTCACAAAATATGAAAAATTAGCACAGAATTTCCTTTTTTATTCATTTTCCCCGTTGGGAAAGGGTTAATCATATGATTACACTTTTTTGTATTCTAAGATATTACTGATATCTTGTTGAGAGGCCAAGAACATTTTCTTTTGTTGTGTTATTGGTTTGAAATTTAGCTCATATCTTTTAATTATTGTATCTTTTTCTCAGTTTCTGTAGTTTCTGTTGTTAAATTATTGATAACATGAGCAACTAGAAGGATAAACAGAAATGCTAACAATATCACATACATTTTTAATTGTGTTATGCACATGAATTTAAGTGACTGTTGAAACCTTATGCTGGTTTTCATATACTCTTAGAAGTTCATATTATTTATCTTAACCCCTGGATGAGAATTGCACTACATAAAACCAATTTTACCAAGAAAGAGGTTAGGGCCACTTAGATGGTCTGTACATTACAAATATCCGAGCAAAGAGTCCTCAGGTATTTCAACAAACTTAAATCAGGTAGCTGTTGCTCTTTCTTTTTCAACTTGTAACCAGTGAGCAAACTCACAAGACATACAGGATATGTTCTTTCTTTTATTGTTCTTATAGAAAATAAGTACTGCCAGGAAAGGTGTGAGGCAACTTTAAGAGAGAACTGGAAAAGTGAGAATGATAAACATGTGATATTTATGTAATGAAAATGTCCTTTTTATGATTTGCTATTGAAGTCTGTTTTTTTCACAACTAAATTCTGAAATGGGGTTCCAGGTCCACTCCATCTCAGACCCCAGTATCTTGCAGCTTGTTAAATCCAGATGATGATGAAGAAGCACTGTTAAAACATACATCACTGGAAGCTGTTGCTATGCAGCTTATGGAGTGCCAGCATATTATGGATATTGTAAAACCTCATATGGTAAGTCAAATACATTAAGGCATGTGTGGTAATCTATAGTTATGGTTTATATTTTTACTTATATCATCATCATTGTCATTGCTATTGTCATTGTCACTGTCATCATCATCATTATCATTGTTATCATTTTTTTATTGTTATTATTATTAATATTAATATTGATATCATTGTTGTTGTTCCAATTCTTCTTCTTCTGATGATGATGATGACTATGATAATGATAATTGCTATTGTTATTGTTATTATTATTATTATTATTATTATTGTTATTATTATTATTATTATTATTATTATTATTATTATTATTATTATTATTATCATTATTATTATTATAATTATTATTGTTATTATTATTGTTGTTGTTGTTGTTGTTATTATTGTTGTTATTGTTATTATTATTGTTATTATTATTATCATTATCATTATTGTTATTATTATCATGATTGTTATTAATATTATTATTATCACTATAACTGCTCTTGTTATTGAAGATATTACTGTTTTTGTTTTATTAATTTTTTTCCAGGACAAAAAGGATATTGAAGAAGACCTTGCCTGTCTTGCAGACCAGATCCGATCAAAACCCCAGTCGCCCCTTTATAAGGCCATGTCCAAGTTGTCTATGCTTGATGTCACCAAAGAGAAAACTAAACCAGCCATATGTGTTTTGTCACTGATGAAAAGAAATTTCCGTGATATGCGTTCTGTGCAGCTTTTGTGTGGTGTGGGGTACATCACGTGTCTTATAAAGCTGCAGTCAATTCATGAAAAGTTTAGTAAGCCTTTCTTGACTTTGATATTTGAAGACCTAGATCGAGAAATTCACGAGAATCCCTTTGGCTCCTTATTTGTTGGCAATATTCCCATCATTAACGTTGCCAAATTGAAATGTAACAGCCCGTCAGTGAAGCCAAAGTCATATTCAGCGCTCTGCTGGGATGAACACTTTGTTCAATTTCTGGGTGGCGAGGCATCGCAGGAGGCAACATCAGATTCTGACTACTCAGATGCCTTTGATTTGCCCAAAGATGGTCCTGATGTGGCGGCAGCGGCAGACTGTCTTGAGGTATTTCCAGTAATGAGAGCATCTGACAGTGGCACAGCCAGGCAGGCAGAGAGCAAGGAGGGCCTGGCCAAGGCTTCAGAGAAGAAGGACAACCTGGAGTCAAAGTCTGAGCCGCCTTTACTTGATGAAAGACCAGCCGATGATAACACAGGGGCCAGTGAGCCCATTCAACAGGATCTGAGTCAAGGTAAGAAAAATTGCTTGCATATTTAGATACATGCATTGACAGAAGTGTGTGTGTGTGTGTGTGTGTGTGTGTGTGTGTGTGTGTGTGTGTGTGTGTGTGTGTGTGTGTGTGTGTGTGTGTGTGTGTGTGTGTGTGTGTATAATTTATATGTACACACACATATATGTGTATATATATATATACACATATATATATATATATATATATATATATATATATATATATATATATATATATATATATATATATATATATATATATACATATATAATTTATATGTACACACACACACACACACACACACACACACACACACACACACACACACACACACACACACACACACACACACACACACACACACACACACACACACATACACACACACACACATACACACACACATATATATAATTTATATGTTCATATGCACATACCACCAGACAGTAGTTTAATCCATTGACGCTGGGGAAAATGAATAAAAAATGGGGAAAATGCTGTACTCATTTTACTAGTGCTATAAATATAGAGGGTGGTATTTTTAACAGCAAATTAGGATAACGTTAAATATTTTCGTAAATCGATGAAAAGAGTGAACGGGCGAGAGAGGCAGTACTCGTAATTTGCTCACTGGTGACTTAGTACAATTGTAGCCATCTGTGTATAAAAACAATCAAACAAGTTGACTCACAGTGGGCATGGCATGTATGTACATGCCATGCATGTACAATAACTGGGTTAACTGGAATAATATTATGCTGCTTATTCACCCATTTTTTCCAGTAGATGGGGGTGGTGTTGGTGGAAGTCAGCATAGCAACAGCAGTGGCAGCAGCTGGGCCTCTCTGATTCCAGATCTAGCAGGATTTGAGGAGATTGAAGAGGAAGAGGAAGTGCAAGAGGATATAGCGATGGCACTTGGAGAGGAACTCATAACACATGTTGGCATTAGAGAACGAATGATTGCAAGTAAAGGTATGCAATTGCCTACACATATTGGATACATTACACAAGCAGTGGTGTAGATAGGAAATTTTATAGGGGGGGTGAGAAATGCAGATTTTCCGACAAAAATTTAACAAGCATTTTCGTTTCTACATGATTATTTTCCGACAAGATTAGCAATTTTCCGACAAAATGGCAGTTTAGCTCTAGAGGGGGGTTTTCCGACTCCCCTGACCCCCCTCTATCTACACCACTGGGTGACTTAGGAAACAGTAGCAGAGTAATTTGGCTTGGCGTATTTTCAGTAACACATGGCTGAAATTCCATAGGTTTCAAGTTTTGTAATTGCAAATGCAAGCTCCTCTACACTTCTTCACTAAGTTAAAAAAGATATAGTACATTAAGTTCAGAAAGAGCCTTCCTGTATGAATATTACCTCCACAAGAAAGATAGGAAAGGGAAATTTTTATTAGTCTTGGTTATTATGAAGTTAAACATAGATGCAGCCAGTTTTGCTTAAAAAATAGATATGTGGGACCCTTCTTAATTATCATTATTTAATATTTTGATGTGTATTTGTTTGTGTTTTTTATTTTATCAGCTTGTCGTCTTTCTGGGCTAGTGCAGCAGTTTTGTGGAGTGTCACACTGTCTCATTCACTCACTGCTGTCGGGAAGACCTGTTGTCCTTGCTGCAGCTGACCACTATCGCTCTTTGGTAATGCTGTATGTGCGGGCGCTCTCTACTTTACTTCCACGCTCGCCACGACAAAAACTGCCCATACTAAGGTATTGTCTTTTTTTTTTTTTATGGAATTGGTGAAATAAAGCAGTTATAAGTGAAATGCACCATATTTCTTAAAATGGCTAAAGTTCTTGTCAATAACCTTAATGTACTTGTGTCACTACAAACATGCTAGTGTTTAGTAGAGGCATCCTAAGATTCACTTGATTCCTTTGTTTCATAATTAAGTATTATTCATGTGATATTAACCACTTATGTAATTACTCCACTTTATACCTTGATATGAGGATAGAATATGGTGTACATCTCTCTATCTATCTTTCTGTCTGTCTATCCTTCAGCATATCTGTTTGTTTGTTATCTGTGAACAAAGTTCATTGATGCTGAAAAGGTATAAATGGGAATGAATAACTTGATTAAGTAGGAGATATAATTGACACATATAGCTTTTGTATCTTTATCAGAATTACATGAAGATAGAATACTGGAATGAATCTATCTGACGTATAAATGTCATACTACCTATCAATTAATCTTTCTATCTATGTATCTGGTTATTCATCTGTCTGGCTAACTATCTATCTCTCTGATTATCTATCTGTCTTTTTTATTTTATATTTATTTACAGGTGGCACACTGGCACCATCACAAGTTTTCATATTCAGCATTACCGTGTGGTAGGGCTGTGTATCCCAGAGAGACTTCACGTTCAGGATCTCATGTCTAATTCTACGCTGGTGAGGAATGTGTAGATGACAACCATGAGCATGAGACGGGCATTTTCGATTGCAATTATCTTGATACATTCATATAGTACATATTATCATCTATTATAATATATTTCATGATCCTTTTTTACTGCAGGTTTTAATTAGTTGAAATTTATTGAAAGAAAGGAAGTAAAATTGTCTAGGTTACTTTTAGGACTAATTAAGTGATCTTGCTCCGTAAAGTGAGATTATTTTGATCTGCTTTATGTTTGTGCATTTGGATGGAAGCATTGTTGCTCTTTTTGTACCTATCCTTATTTTATATGTGATATGGTGAAAAATTCCACTTATTATGTAAAATCTGTTAATGCTGAAAAGAATTAGAGCTGATTGCTGTAAGAATATCTATATCTGTATTCAGATTAGGCCATTAGTAAAATGACTGAAATGACTACAATTATTCTCTTTACTTTGCAGAATCAAGTCACAGTTCTGAATATTGAAACTGGCCACATATCAGGGGTAGCATACAGTGGAACTCTGGTACGAGGAGTGGAGCAATACGGCCGCAGACTGTTTCACTCCAACTCAGCACTTCAGGCAGCTTTACAAGCAATTCTGGTTACTTTGGGCTTAAAGATATATTTGTTGTACCATCTTCTGGAGACG